CACCAAAATTTCAAGTTTCTGAAATAGATATCTAAAAATATTACGTTCTAAACTTTCAAAATAACAAAATTTAAGATCGTAAGGTTTCAAAAGGTTTCCTTTAGATCATATTCAATCATTAAGATTGTAGCCTTTTTTTCTAGAATTCTCATATTTCGACATTCAAAATTTTAAAAATAATGCAGAATTCTACAAGATCAACATAAAATCTTAGATTTTTTGGCGTTTAACGAAAGTTTTGAAACCTATAATGATTTTATAATATTTTTAAGTAACGAAATCTGAAAAACTACAAATTTCTACGTCTAATTTTTTTGTAGAAATTAAGAATTCTTTAGTTTTAGATTCGACTCTTTTAAGTTTCTGAAATATAAATTTACAAATATAGAGTTTCAATCTTCCAAATTAATGGGATTTTAAAATTACTATAAATTGGAATTTAAAGATCGCAAGATTTTAAGATTCTTCTGTAGATTCTATTTTAGACTTAGAAAATTTTGGAGATTTAAAACAAATTTCTAAGTCAGTTTTTTAATTAGAAATATCAAACAAACTAGAACTTTTCTGAAATTCTAAGAGTTAGAGATGCAATTTTAGCTTCAAAAGTTGTAAAGACTCTAAAATTTTCTGAAATAGAATTCTAAAAGTATAACTTCCGAACTAACAAAATTTAAGATTCTAGATTTTTTTCTAGATTTCTCATATTTCAAAAGTAATGTAAAATTCAACAAGATCAACATAAAATCGTAGATCTTTTTGGCGTTTAACTAGACTTTTGAAACCAGTTAAAATTTTAAAATAGAATAGAATTAGCTTTATTTATGGACCAAATATTTAAATATTCTTTTGTGACAAAAAAAAACTGCTATTTTAGCACATTCTTTGTAAAAGTATTAGTTCTCTAACATCAAACCCTGAAAAAAATTCAAAAATATTTGCAAAAACTCACCGATTGCGAAAAGCAATACAGAGTTAGGTGTATAAAACTCTGTATAATCTGTCTACAGATTTGTAGATGTATAACAACTATTGTTGTTAACTCTTGACATTGGAATCACTTCGTTGGTTCGTAAGAATAATGAATTTTAGCTTCAAAATTTATAAAGATTCTAAAATTTCAAGTTTCTGAAATAGATATCTAAAAATATTACGTTTTAAACTTTCAAAATAACAAAATTTATGATCGTAAGGTCTCAAAGGTTTCCTTCAGATCATATTCAATCATTAAGACTGTAGAATTTTTTTCTAGAATTCTCATATTTCGACGTTCAAAATTTTAAAAATAATGCAGAATTCTACAAGATCAACATAAAATTGTTGATTTTTTGGCGTTTAACGAAAGTTTTGAAACCTATAATGGTTTTATAATAATTTTAAGTAACGAAATCTAAAAAACTGCAAATTTCTACGTCTCAAAAACTTGTAGAAATTAAGATTTCTGAAAGTTTGAGATTCGACTTTATTAAGTTTCTGAAACATGAATTTAGAAATATAGACTTTCAATCTTCCAAATTAAGGGGATTCTAAAATTATTATAAATTGGTATTTAAAGATCGCGAGATTTTAAGATTCTGTAGATTCTATTCTATTTTGGAGATTTTTAAGTAACAAATTTCTAAATCAGTTTCTTAATTAGAAATATCAGACATACTAAAATTCTTCTGAAATTCTAAGAGTTAGAGATGCAATTTTAGCTTCAAAAGTTATAAAGATTCTAATTTGACTATTTTAAGTTTCAAAGATCTGAAGTTTCTGAAATAGAAATATAAAAGTATAAGGTCTAAACTTTCAAATTAACAAATTTTAAGATCGCAAGATTTCAATGTTCCCCT